GAGGGTGTATGTGTGTGTATATATATATATATATATATATAGTATATATATATATAGTAAATGAAACAATGAATTCATACTACTGTGGCTCTTTTGGGTAATGTTGATTGCTAATTTGGCTCCTGAACCTCTGAGGTCTGAATATCACTAGTCTACATTTTAAAAAGAAACTAGTGATTTGGGTGCCTCGATTTTTGGGTACTCAAATTGAGACACCTTACATTTCAGAGGTTGGCTGCTCAGTGTTTTCTGAAAATCAGGCCCCTGTAAAGTGTCTGAATATGGAGACCCAAAAACTGCAGCACTCTTGAAAGTTTGGACCATAGTATAAACTCTTCATTTTCAAGCTTTATACAATATGTCCCTGAGGGACTGATTGTGCAGTCATTACTTAGACTAAGTTCTCATTGACCTCAACAGGAGTTTGTTCTGAGTAAAAAATGTGGGATCTAGTCCTTAATTTTGAAATATGCTTACATTGTATTATAGACAAAAATATATATTGCTTGCGAAAATGACGAATGTAATTTTATTATGTAAATTTATTTCTGTGTATATTGCCACTTTAGCTGCATTACAAAAGGTGGCATATTGAGTTAATATCACCTAACCTGACCTGGGTACACCTTTTCCCATAGGTAATGAGTGAAGATGAGTAATGGTCTCTCCTCTTAACTTTTGGGGGACATTAGCTCACATCACACAACCTGCACTTTATTTTCCCCAGTTTGGCAAAGTAAATGTTCTCTGTTCAAGAGTTTCTTGGGACTAGAATAGGTGGTTTGTTGCAAGTTATGAATAAGGTCTGCTGGCTGAGCTGTGTGCGGAAGCCTGCAAGCACATGTCTGCATTATCTCTCAGTCTAGCTATAGTTATACTTGTCATTCATGTCAAACAGCATTACATTCACCTAAAGATTATGCTATTCATTTAATCAAATACTGAGCGATGGAACTGCATTTAAAAATGTGCAAAAGCAAATTAAATATATGGCAGATTCAACTGGTTTATAATTCAAATTAAATATTTTTAACAGATTTTTGATATTTCCTGGGATCCATATCAGCCAAACAGAATGGTTAGCTGTGGAGTGAAACATATAAAGGTAAATTGGTTTTGTTGCTTTTATATTTTCATTTCTTAAAGTTTATAAAGTCATCTGATGTCTTGAACTGCTTGCCATCTTTTCTTTCAGTAGGCGGCTTCCTGCCACCCCCAAACCCCATGAACACTATCTAGATTTCTAGGTTTGCAGCCAATTCAACATGATGAGGCAGATTTTCAGAAATACGAAGTGACTGCAGTGCAGGACAGCTTAACAAGCAAAGTATAAACATTTAATGTCTTAATATTTACCAATACTCACTCCCATTTTTGGCTTCTGCCCTCTCTATTCCACCAAACTGCTCATCAAGGTCTTCAGTTATCTCTTCCTAGTTAAGTCTCAATTAGGCATCACTGAAAAGGTCTGAAAGGATTGATGGAGCCCTGCTTCACTTATTCAAGCTAAGAAAATTGCAGAACCATGGATCACTTGATTACCTGTTCTGTTCATGCCCTCTGAAGTACCTGACATTGGCCATTGTTGGAAGACAGGATACTGGGCTAGATGGGCTAAATCAGGACATTGGTCTGACCCAGTATGGCCATTCTTGTGTTATGTTCTTATGAATGAGATAGGGATCCTAACTGCTCAGCCACAGTCTGGGCAGAGACTACAAAGAAGGTATGAGAGGAGTCACTCCATGCTGCTGGACATCCTCTGCAGCTTTGGGAGTCAGGTTTCTTAGAGATCCTTGGTTTTCCAGTCCATTTTTTGGCCCAGCTCCCTGCCTTTTCTGTACCTCTGATCTCATGAAACTGGGGAGAGAACCTGAGTACTCCACAGCTCTAGTATTTGTTCCTTTCACACAATTTTGCACAGGAGGCACGTGAGGACCTAAATACATATTTGTAAATTGCCTTCCTGCTGCCTTAATTTGTTGTCTAGTATTAAAATTTAAATAGGACCAAAATTTAAGTAAAATTGAAAGCAAAATGAAAATCCCCTTGAAAGGTTCATATTTTGGATAAAACCTCCTTGGGCTTATGCAAAGCTTGGAGGGAAGTCTCTCACTTTGACAAAGTTTTCTGTTTTCCCCCGTCTTTGAGATGCATCTTTACTAGATGGCAATTATTTCACATGATTAGGGGTGGGAAAAACAGAAGTTTTAGAAAACTTGCTAATCTCTCTAACTCAGGTGGCTGAGAAATTTGAACCCCTAAACTTGCACTATTTTCAAAACTGTGGGGTAGTTTTGGCAGTAGTTATGCTATTTTCTGTGTTCTGCAAGCTGCTTCTCAAAACCTATCTTTCGTTAGCACCTGTGCACTGTTAAAATGGTCATAATTAACCATTCAAACAAACAGATATAGATTAAGGCATGCCAGAAAACTGTGTGTTAAAATGTTTGTGGATTAGGTGTTGGATTCCCATCAAAAAATGTACAAACAGTAGTCCATACTATTTCTGCATATTAAGGTTAGAGGGATGGGGATCACTGCTTGAACTTAGAGGTAGATAAAATAAATAGCTTCTCCTGCTCTATACTATAGGGTAATTACTCTGCATTGTAAAATCAAGATTAATATTTGGGGAGGGAGAAATGGGGAGAGTGTAGTCTTTTC